GTTGTGTTTGTGTCCACCTGATGGATTATTTGCTCTCCTTCTAACTCTGTTTCTGGACTCCACCAACTCCAGAGGACAAGATGTCTCTCTTTAGCTAATAGATGTTCCACTGTCTTCACCAGCTTGTTGCTGACTGTGTATATCTGCTGTTTGGTGCTGAGCAGGTAGCGTACAGCGCGTTTGACTAGAACTGGACAGTAAATGTGCCGTCAAGCCAAAACTTTCAGCTAAAAGAGGCTAAAAAGTTCAGCCGAGCTGCATTGTTGATGATTACATTTAGTCTTTTGATCCATTCGACACTTACTGAAGATTTTCCAGAGCTTTCAGCTACTTCTCATGGCTGTCATCAGTGGATGGAATTATATAAATAACTGTAACAGTAACAAGACAAAACAAATCTAACTCTAACAAATCTAACAGACAGTTTCTAAATGATATCAGAACAACAAAATAAACACAGTGTAGAAACAGAGTTATATTTGTGAAATGCCACGACGACACCTTGTTGTTTCCAGCAGCGTAGACAAGAGTTGGACGTTATTGTTTTGTAATGCACAACTATCAGAAAAACATGGCATCGATAAAAGTATTTAATAAACTCTTCTTAACTGGAAACGGTTCTCGATTCCCATCCCTGGAAGCAGGCAGGAAATTTGCATGAAGGCAACACAAACAAACATAGAGGACAGCGAACGTGACACAGAACGGGGTAATTATGAACAGGAGATCCGACCAGCATTGTTTTGTTGTTGATCACTCTTATTGTTGTTTGCAACTGTTGTTAGAAGGTGTTTTCTATTTACCCTTTTTTAAATATATTTTAAAAAGAGTATAGTAATAGGAAATAGGTCAATTTATATATTTACAATTTTTTTATTGAATTTAGAGAAAATGTGCTATATTGTTAAATGTATTCAGCATATGACTCAAACTTCTAGTATTTCAGTCGACTAACTGATTTTCAGTTGTTCAAATATTAATAGAAGTCAGTTGCTAATTGCAGGAAAAACCCATTAAAATATCTGAAACCTTACAGCAGACTTTTAATTCCCAGCAGAAATGTAAAATACACATCATTTATTGTTAATGAGGTAAAATAAATCACTGATTGGGTCTTTTAGAAGTCAGAACTAAACAGCTCTGGACTCTGGTTTTCCCAAGAATGCCACACTCAGACAACTGAAGGTCACCGTTATGTTAGAGCAGACAGCTTTATTTATCTCCCCCTAATGTGCTGTGTCTTCAAATATCTGATCTTCCTTTCTGATAATGAAGTCAGACACACCGCAGGAATTCAAAACAACAGGAAAAGAAAGTGAAACAGAAGAAAAAGTGTGTGCGTAGGGGGAATTCCTGATTTTAAAAACCTTGAAAAGCACCTCACCTGTTTCAGGAGAAGACGTGTCTTGATATGAATCCCGTCTCACCAAAGGGTCCAAGGTGTCGTAGTCCACTGTGACGCCGTGTCCGTTGTGCCACAGCTCTCTGCCTGCACGTGGAAATGACAAACAGACCAGCAGACAAAGAGGCAGCGCTGGTCAGGAGTCAGTTGAACAAAAACACACACACACACACACAGTCACCTACGTGTGAACGCACAACAACAGCAGCTGATTCCAGATCTCATTTCAAATTGGATTCATGGAATAATGCAGGCTTTAATTTCCCGTCAGTGTCTGTGTGTGTCTGTGTGTGCCCTGGTTTCCCCCCGCCTGCCTGTTTCCCCCTGTGTACAGTATCTGCAATCTGAATTCCTGTCAGATGTGTGTGTGTGATAACCCCTCATATTACTTCCTGTTGAGAGGCGAGGAGTGTGATTGTAGGTGCTGAGGGCCAGTTTTGGCTCTTGGGTCCTCCTGCTGGTGTCCAACACTGCCCCCACCTGGGTGACTGTTTGTTGAACTCGATGAATGTGTTTTTCATTCATGAGTAGCGCGTTTGTGTGTGTGTGTGTG